CCTACCACTCTTTTGCTTCTATAAATAGAGAGGGTGTGAGGCTTAGGAGAGCAAGGGAGAAGAGATCTTAAGCTACCACAACAGAGGAGAGAATAACTATAGAGTTAGAGAGGAGGAGAGCATCTTGAGGCCTTGTATCAATGTGTCGCTTGAGAGGGAGGCCATAGACGAAAGATGAGGGCTCATCTCTATGTATAAGCTATGTATTCTCCATTTCTTTTGCCTTAGTGAAATATTTTATTGATTCCTCCCGTGGACGTAGATCCAGTTGGATCGAACCACGTCAACGATCTGTGTTTGCTTGTGTTCTTTCCCGTCTCATTTCTATGTCAGGAAGTACATATCTCACAACAGGATCATTAGAATAGACCCAATTTTGTTAAAATTGGGCATGATTGGATCCCAAAGGCCATAAATTTGGGATTTATGCCTAGTTTATCACTTATGAAGGTGTCTAGACGAGTTTGATTAGATTTAGAATCGACTTAGTTTAACTTGGCTCGTCATGACATGAATGAGTCATTAATAAGCCCATTTAAGCGCTATTAGGGTTCAATGATTATTGAATTAGTTTCAATGGCTATGAAGTGAGTTTGTTTGAGTTTGGATTAGATTTGAGTGCATTTGATCCTTACTTTATTTTTCTTTGTGCACTTGAGATACAAATTTTTAATATTTAAACTTGTTCCATGATGCATTTGGTTAGATATTGGAATGATTCCATAGGCCTTCTAATTTGTTTTATTATTTGCATCTAAATACTACTCCATAATGCATTTCTTTGAGACATTTGTCCTAGTTCTTAATATATTTAGTTGCCTTATGGACTATAAATCATAATTAATATGATTAAAATAAATCTTTGTAGAAGCAATGGCCACTCATTCCCATTGTTAGTTTCGCATTTATTCTAGTAAGCATCCATTCAATAATGAATATAGTTATTTTATAGAGAAAGGAAAATATATATTGTCAAATGAAAATATAATAAATATGGTATGTCTTGCATGCCATAGAAGGTACATTGTCTCAAATGAGTAAGCAAACTTAAGGAAAATCATGTATAGGGTTAAGCATTTATAGTCTAATATTCTAATGAAAACTTGAGTTATTAAAAGCAAGTGCTTTAAAATTTTCATGGTTGAGAAAAAAGCTTAACAAAGGATTGAAGGCAGTAGGAAGTTTCACTAACAAGTGATTGATTGAGATTGTTGGAACTCTTCCAAGCAATTTTGTAGTGTGCTTGGGTGCATGTGGCCTTGGATAATTTTGAGTTTTATAGAACTAATTTCAATTTTATGAGGGAAGATTTTACTTTGTTTCTTTATTTTTTGGATGGTATTAACATTATAGGGCTAATATATCAATGTCTTATCAAATTAACTTTGGGAAATTTACACATATTATCACTCATTTTTTATGTATTTATATATTTAGTACCTAAAATTTGATATTTATATTTATAAGATTTTATGTTGCAAATGTATACACGAAGGATGTATTTCATTTTTAAAAAAACTAGTAAGCGTGGTATTTTTATGTGATGTTAAAGATTTAAGTGTTATGCATCTAAATATAAATTTTATAAGGTTTGATATATAAATATAGAAGAATTGTGTGATATGTAAAAGCCTCAAGTCTCTTTCCTAAATGACCTAAATTTTTTTCAAAAATAATTTATAATTGGTTTTTGATTTCAAACGGAAGACCAAGATTTCAAAATAGAAGAAACCAAGTAGTGTAAGAGAGTTAAAGGAGTGACATATAAATTTAGAGTGTTTGTAATAAAAAAAAACAATTATGTTTTATCTTTTATTTTCTTAATCATTCCAAACCTAGATTGAAATAAATAAATATATTTTCGTGAAAATTATTATAATAAAAAGTAAGAAATATTATTGATTTATTTTATTAAATTGAAATAATAAACTATAATTTTTTAAAATTAAAAACAATTTTTAGTTAAAAATTAAAAAGATTAAATTAATTTCTAACCAGCCCGAAATCAACTATATTTTACCTTTAATCTAGTCTAAATATAAATGGATTGAGATATTTTAGAAAGAAGATTTCCAAATGTACGAAAGATAAAGACATGAAAATAAAAAAGAGAAAGAATAGCAAACAAAATGAAATAAAGTAAAAAAGGGAAAAAAGCAAAATAGTTGTACTCTATATATTTAATATTTTTGACTCGTTATACAAAGAAATGTATTTAGGAAGACATTAGAGTGAAACAACTAATCACATAAAATATAGTAACAACATAAGGCAAGATGATTGTTAGGTAGTCTTGGATTTCTTTTTTGAAATGAATATTTAGCACCCCTTTCAAAATAACAATCTAGTAGAGAGATTGTGAGTTTGGTTCAAATTTACTTGAAATGAGCATTAGTAAGAGGTTTTGTTAAGGCGCCCGTTGTTGATCCAAAGTAGTGATGTGATAAATTTGAATTTGTTTGTTGTGAATGCATTGCTAGATATAGTGACAATCTATTTCAATATGTTTAGTCCTCATATGAAAATCAAGATTATTAGCCAGAGTAATAACTAAAGGTGTTATAACAATATAGATTGGTTGGTTGAGAACTACTTTGCTAAAACTCTTGTAATAATCATTGAAGCCATACTATCTCAGTAGCAGTTGTGGTAACAACATGGTATTCCACTTTAGTAAAGGATCGAACCACTGTAGTTTACTTTTTAATAGCCCATGATATGAGCATTAAATCAAGCAAGATACAGTATCTGTTCATATATTTACAATCAATGGGATCATCAGACCATTCTAAGTTAGCATATGTTGTAAGTTTTAAATTTCCTCTACATATAGGAAGTACAAAGTCTTTGGTGTTTTGAATATACCAAATAATGCACTTAATTTGTTAAGAAATTATGTTGTGTAGGTTAATGCATGGACTGATTGGCATGATTGATATCATAAGAGATGTCTAGCCTTGTATGAGTGAGATATTGTAGAGAACCTACAATGTTATGATAGAAAGAAAGATTGTGAAATAGACTTTGATTGGTGCCATTAAATGATTTAAGTTGAGTCATAGGATTTTGAATCAGTTTGGAGTTAAGCATCCCTGCACTTGTAAGTATTTAGTAAGCATATATCATCTGATTTTGATGCAACCCTTGTTTGTTTATGGTGGTGGAAAAGCAAACGAATTGAGAAATCAGACCCAAAATTTACATGTTAAAGCCTATGTGAAGTTTGTGTAAAATGTTTTGAATATGAAGTGGATTATTTCCTGTTAATAGAATGTCATCATCTTATATGAGAATAAAAATATATGAGTGACTAGTATGATGACAGAAAAGTGAGGAAGCAATACTAATATGTTGGAAGTTTAATTATTGTAAAAATCCTATGAAGCTAGCAAACCACTGTCGTGGGCTTATTTGAGACCGTAGATAGAGTTCTTAAGATGACATATACAATTGAGATGAATATGATATTGAAATACTTGTGGCTGCTCAATATAAAAAGTTTCAATCAAATGCACATGTAAAAGGGCATTTAAAACATTTAGTTGGATGATAATTTAATGAAATGTGAGAGCTACGATAAGAAAAACTCACACGGACATTTTTGCTACTGGACTGAAAATTTCAGTGTAGCCAATATTGTGATGTTGCTTGAAACCTTGTGCAACTAGGTGGGCTTTATAACAAGCAATCGAGCCATCTGGTTTGTATTTTGAAGATCCATTTACATCCAAGAACAAGTTGATTTGATGTCAGTGGAGCATGAACCCAGGTTTCTTGAGATTGCAAGGCTTGAAACTCTTCGAAGATATCTTGACGCCAATGCTCATATTTGACCACAATGGAGCAACAAGTTAGATAGATTATATGGAGGAGATTGGTGCAAGATACTCATGATCTAGGGAGGCTTCTGTAGTGGCCAAGAAATCAATCTTGCTCTTGATTTCTAAAAGATATTAAGCCATAGTTTTATCTTTCATTGATATATTACGGACTTCATTCTTGATCTGCGTTATTCTAGATCTATTAGTGGATTAAAGCTGATGTTTCACTGTCTACATAGGAATAATGGATGGAGAAATGACAAAATATAGCTTAACAACCAATTTGTGATATATGATCATCCACTTGGTAAATTGAAATTGAAGGTTTCCATGCATTTGGGATCTAGAATAGTAGGACGAGGTTTGCTACAGTTTCTTTTGAGAAAATCCTCATATCCATTTGCTCAAAAAAGTTTCACAACTTTAGTCTTCCAAGTGGGGTGGTTGTCGACAGTGTGAGGGGTGAAGATAATATTTTTGATATTTTTCATGAGGAATTAAGTTGGTAATGGGATATCAAAGGGTATTGTCGTAGAGATGGTGGATTACAGTGCAATATTGGTAGAGGAGCTGGAATTCAAACTCATGTAATCAAAAGAACGACTTTCATTTTTCTAGGCCTTAGAGTACAAACGTAAGAACACAGGAAAGGACGATAGCTACCTAAGTGGGTGAACATAAGGTAGATCAATACCTGGGGAAGTTCTCTAGCCTGGGGCTTCACAAATCCCAGAGGCGATGGAGTGCTCTTAACTGTGATGTTCGCAAAAAAAGAGAATGCCATATGACACAATGGTCGGTTCGCACGAAAGAGGCAGATGGGCCCCCAACTTGCAAATTCCAGATAATAAAAATGTGTCGTAGGGCTTGTGATACCAAGAAAGAAGATTTGCAATTAGTATTTGTATGCATATTAATATTTTAAAATTATAAGATATATTAATATTAAATATGAATTAAATAATTTTTAAAAAATTAATTTTATTTAAATAATATATCATATAAATATAAAATATTTAATAAATTATCTGTTAAACAATACATAAAATTTATTAATATTAATAAATGAATTGTATTATATTTAAATTTAATTTATTTAATATTCCAATTTATTAATTTACTAGCTTAAGCAAACATAGCCCAGCATTTATCAAGTACATTGACTCATTTACAGCCATGAGACTTCGGAATCGACAACTAGAAATTTCGGATACCAGGCTGTGCTGCGCGTGCGTGTGAAGCATCAGATTCATCAAATAAATCCTGGCCGTCCACCTCCTCTCCCTCTCCTTCCTGCCGAGAGTTTTCACTCTTGCGACAACCTCACCCTGCCCACTGATCCCACTCCATCTTTTATTCCTCACCCCCTCTTATCTCTCTGCACGTTTCTGAAGATCTTGGAAGAACCAAAAGAAAAATGGTGGTATTTGCCGTGAGCCGGAAGGAAACGAGTCCTATCGAGGGTCAGAAACCGGGAACGTCAGGCTTAAGGAAGAAGGTGAACTTTGCTTATTTCTTAAAATATGGTTTCAGGAGTCATAGATCGGTTTATAAGTATTACATGCCGATTCTATTTTTTGCAATCGGATCGATTTGGTTTCGTAATTTACGATGGGGGTGCGACGCCTCTGCTTTTATGTTGTTATATTCAAATTTTGTTCATTGGTGCTATCAGCATTTTGATAGCAATCATGGATCAAGCTAAAGAGAAAAGGATGAGAGATAGAGAGAGAATTTAGGGTGAGAAATTATCGGATTTCATTAGATTGCCATTGATGCATATGATTCAAATGGGTGAACCTCACTCTGTGATCCTCTATGTATAGGTTGACGTTAGGGCACAGCGCTACGGGGAAATTCTATATTTGAACAATACAAGTGAAGTTATTTGGCAGACCTAGCAAACAAACATGCCACTCAATTCTTATGCATTTGCATATCTAACTCCTAAAATTTACTTTTTACATACATGTTCTCTATGCATGCAAAGATGTAATACACTTTTAAATAGTAAAATCTGATATGAAAGATTTGGGTGCTATAAATGTAACAAATAAAGTAGGTGTTAGATTTATAAATACATAAGAATTGCGTGGTTTGTATGTCAATGCACCACGCAAGAATTTGCTATAAAATGAACAACTTCAAATAAAGGTGTCATCATTTTCATATAGAAGTGGCGATCTGAGATGAAGTCTTTAGAAATTTTGTTTTAGGTTGGAAAGATGTCTTTTAGACTTGGAAAAGTTTATTTGATGATTTGGGCTGTTAGCCGTGACGGCTTCAATTGATCTTTATGCCAAGTTGGGTTATGTGAATAGCTTTGACAACTTGGGTTTCCTGGTGAGATCATGTTATTTGGCCTTATTATTTTTGACGAATTGATACTCTTAATTTGGTTGACATCTTAAACTCCATTTGTTTTGATTGAAAAATATCAGCCTCGCTCGACATACGTGACATTGGGTATACATGTTTGACACCTACTAATACTATATGTAAGCCTTTAGCATGTATGCAATGTAATATGGCATTTTACTGCTCTGAAGGTGTGACTGCCCACCCTCCCTTGTTCTTTCTGAAAGTGTGGCTTTGCAATGAATTGTTTATTTTGTGTAGAGAAAATAGGAATTAAAAGTGGTATATCAAAGATGATATTAATAAAAGTTGTTCAAATGATTGGAAAGAATAAATTTAATAACTCAGGCGACATTCAATGAGAAAAAAATGAAAAGTGGGGATTCATAAATCCAAACTGAACTGACAGTGATATATAAATGGTGATATTGAGCAGTAAATATATGAAGCAATAGGTGGTGGACTGACATAAGTCAGTATTTATTTGGATAAAGATAAAAATCTAAAATCTTTGGTGCTATAAAACCCTCCTTGTGTTTTCCACTTGCCTTTTTTATGGCAATGGATATTTATTTGTCCTGAAAATCTATATAGATGGCATACTTTTTTTTTCTTTTTTCGGTGCGATGAACTTATTTGGGCATTTAATTTGATTTTTAGGTTAAAGTGTTCCAGCAACCTAATTATCTACACAACTTTGTTCAATCAACTTTTGATGCACTTACTGCTGAGAAAGTGCGAGGTAAGAGTCATGCATGTGCTGTTCTTGCACTGGTTTTAGTGGCACTATATTAAGTAATACACATGATTTCTTTGTCTTTTTGCTGCCTTTTTCTGTTGATATTATTGATAGAAGTTTAGTTAAGAGTGTATCTAATTGTTTTCTTCTGCCAATGGTTTGCATGTTTATCAATAATTATGGTGGTGACAACTTAAAATTTTGTAATGGTTATTAGTTGAAAACATTACTTTGTTAGATTTTGGTAGTTTTAATTTGGAGATTTTCACTGGGATTTTGCCTTTCTTATGATAGTCATGATTGGTACTCTTTGTTGACAATAAGGTCTTGCACGAGATAATGGATGATATGTGAAAAGAAAATGTTTTTGGAACTTGTGATAACTAGAGAGTACTTTCAAATCTCGTTGAGTTCAACATATGCCTTATTGACAAACTAGATGTAGTCATCAACATCATAATCATCATAATATTTTTCCCATGTATATGGGGCTAGTAGCTTTATTCTTTTCGAAATTATATAACAACTTTAGTAACTTTTACATCATATATTTGGGCAGATTTTGATACTGGAGTTAACTTAAATCATAATAGCAAAACAAATATTATTATTTGAAGCGACCATGCGGTTACAATCAATACACTTGAAAAACAAAATATAACAACACGACACCCAGAAATCAGAAATAAAAACAGACACGACACATATAATTAAATTAGGGTGGGATCTCGTGGTGGCGAGGGTTTGAGAGGTAGCAATGAGTGGGTGAAGGCTAGAAAGTGAGCGACAACAAAGGTTGTGGACGGTGGCAGCAAAGGGAATGAGTTGCGGCAAGGGCAACAAGCTGGGAGGAGAGGAATGCATGGTTGGGTGGCTTGAACGACAAAAAATAACAGGAAAATGCTGTTTTTGGGCTGCTGCTGCGAGGGGGAATATTGGCAGAAGTGGCAGGGGATGCGGGAAATTGCAGGACAACAAGAGGATAGTTGTCCGGGGTGGCAA